TAGATCATTCCAGCCAGGGTTTTGTTGAGCTGGGCCTTAAAACCCCCCAAGGATGGAGATTCCACCACCTCTTTAGGCAACCTGTTCCAGTGCTTTACTACCCTCCTAGTGGGAAAGCTTTTCCTACTATCCAACCTAAACTTCCCTTGCTGCAACTTGAGCCTTGTTCTGTCATCTGCCACCACTGAGAACAGTCTAGCTCCATCCTCTTTGTAACCACCCTTCAAGTAGTTGAAGGCTGTAGGCGTGTGCGAAGCAGGCCCTATTCAATTCAGATGTGGATTCAGCCCAAATCAGGGACAGTGATTTGATTTGTTGATCTGGATCACTGTCCCTAATTCAATTCAGCCAAATCTGAATCTGAAGATTTGATGCTGATTCAGAGAATCAGTGATGTGGACACAGACACAGCTTTAAAATTTTTTCTACATATCTTGAAGTAGCAGGCATGGCTCATGATTGCTGTGATCCTGGGGTTCATGAAGTGTCCCACAGGAGTGTGGGGGGGCACCTTCCATGTGCTCAGCAGTGAACCCAGAAGTGGACTGGAAGGACCCAGAAGGCACCAGTCACTGAGCTGGGGTGTGTGGGAGGGGTCCACACTCCAATTCAATTCAGAAAGATTCAATGATTTGGACATAGATGCAGCTTTATATGTTTTTTCTACATGCCTCAGGGTACCAGGCAGCTCGTGAACACAGAGATGGTGGGGTAGATGGAGTGTCCCATGGGAACACAGCGGGGTCCCCAGTGCACTCAGCAATGAACCCTTCCCCACCCCCTGGCTCAGCAACTGGTGCCTCCTGGGCCTGGCGGGGGGGGCGGTTCCCAGAGTCCCCTCACAGCTGATTGCTGAGCCAAGGGGCATGGGGGGTCCACCCCCTCACTCCTGTGGGACAGTCCATCCACCGCACCATCTCAGCATTCATGAGCCACACCTGATACCTCAAGGTATGTAGAAAAAACATTTAAAGCTGTGTCTATGGCCGAATCGCTGATTCTCCGAATCGGAATCAAATCTTCAAATTTGGATTCGGCCAGATCAAATCGGGCAGTGATCCAAATCAACAACTTGAAACTCTGCCCCCGAATTAGGCTGAATCCGAATCCAGATTGAATATGACCTGCTTCACACACCCCTAGTGCCTGCCGATTAGCATTACTAGCCTGGTGGTACTGTACTAGAGTCAGTGGCAAAACTCTTGTTCATCTTCAATGGTGCAGGAAGAGACCTCACATAGCTTTATATTCTCTGTGTCACTAGCTGATAGTTACAAGATATGGTCTGTTCTTGATGGTAACTCACTGAGTAGCTTACTCTGCATTGTGCTTCTGTTTGCAGTCTGATGGAATAACATCAGGAAATACTCTGAAGAATGAAGCAGTGCAGCCAAATAAAGATGGAGGAATAAAATCATCTACAACTGGAGCCTCTTTGGTTAAAGGCCATGGTTCAGCTTTTCAATTAACAGGTATTTCTGTTTATGAGGGATATCATTTGCAATCCTGCATACTATTTCTTTTTCTATGAGAGAACAGAGAGGGATAGTAATTACTGAGTCTGGATTAAGAAATAGTTGAAGGTCAGATAGGATTGCTGGATAGAATAATATCTTAAAGGGCATGTCAGTAAGCCAACTGAGGCAAGCCTATATGATGGGGTATATAACATTCTGTGATTAGCAGACAGGACTCTTTCCTGATATTAGCCAGTGTCTGCTGTCTATATCAGAAACTGGTTCTGACTTTACCTCATATTGTTGGAGAGCTTGAGACATGTTGGGTGTATATACATATCTTCCGCTTTAGCACCCATAAAGTCAGGAAGATGAACTTCAGTCACCAAAGGCATGCAGCTCTTTGACAGATGGTGAGTGAATTCCATCAGGATATGAATTCTGCTTGGGAAGTACTTCAGTTCTCTGGATTATGAGTGTGTAAGGACTGCTAAATAAATATTAGGTCCACATCCAGATAAGCATGGCTGTGCAGTATGTAGTACTGCAGACCTGTCTGTGGTGCCACACATTGCACATTCAGGCATTTGCCATGTTGCTACCTTGCAGCATGGCTTTTTTTTTTACCCTGAGAGATCCTGGGGTTGAAAAAACACATGGAAAAGAAAGCGGGGTGACATAATTGGCGGCAGTGTGTGCCACCCAAAATTGTAGCCTGGCTCTCTGGAGACATGCTCTGGCTGCCAGCCAGGCTTCCAGCTGCAGGAGCACCATGGCTAGAGCTTTTCTGGCCCATAGGACCCCAGGTAAGGCTGCTGGGGCCAGCACAGATGTTGGCCCCAACCTCCTCTACCCCACCCAGGGTAACCTACCACATGCAAGAGGGTGCAAAGTGTGCTGCTGCTTTTTGTCCCTGGGGAACCAAAAGTCCATGCTCATCTGGATGCAGCCTGGAGTTTATTTCCAATATGGGTTACACAGGTATAAACCAGAAATAACTCCATTCAAATCAGTGGTGTTCCATTAGCGTAAAACTGGTACGTCTGTTTTTTAATAAAGTGGGCATTAGAACATGTCTCTGAAAGCTAGTAAATTCAGAGCAGATCATCTCATGAATTAGACATAGCAGTCCTCAGGGAGAGGATAACATATTAGGATGTGGCCTTTTCTGATGAACCAGCAACGGTTGGATGCACGCACTTGCTTTTCCAGCCTAGATTATCTTGAAGTTGAGTAGAGCAGTCCATTTTGAAACTGAGACCCACTGCCTTGTTAAAATGGGCAGTTCTGATTATTTTTAATGAACTAAACTATAATGTCAGCTAAAAACAGCATGAGGAGACTATCAAGCAGTGGGAAATTTATAGGAAAAATAGTATGATGTAAGCAAAACCCAATACCAGTTCCATAATATGGAAAATGATTATATGGTATTTTTCATAATAGAGTTAAATCTATGGTATTTCTTTACTCCAAGAGATACGTTTCCCCCAGCACTGCTCTAGATTTATGTAGGATGTTTAGGATAATATTTTCCCTGTCAGTGTTCAAAATGAAAAAAACCAACCAACCAACCAAACAAACAAAACAACCTCCCCCCACCCCGCCAATCCCCTTCTCCAAGCAAAAGGAAAATCAGTTAAAAAATACATGTGTTCTCAAACCCAGTTAAAGCCCCAAAATTGCAGGGAAACAAGGAAAACTGATAATTTAGGCAATAGTCCACTTTTAATCTTTAATTTTTAATACCCGAGTTGTCCCATTAGCTTAATTTAGACATAGGCTTAGTTAAACCTGTGCTTCAGTACTTTGCTATTGTAGGCTGTTAGTGGACTAACTGGGAAAAATGAATTGGAGAAAAAAACGAACTGAAAACTGAAACCTCCAAAGTCTAAACCTTCTAGATGCTGAGCACCAATTTACTCTTTGAAGCAGTGCAGGTTGACTGTGTATACTAGGATTTGGTCTTAACTCAGATATTCCTTGATTAGGTTCAAAGTAGGATTAGTCTAAGAGAATGGCCCTCTATCTGGGATCTCTGAAGTGTATGTTAATAACCTTTTGTGGAAGGAGGACATTGGTTGTAGTGGTTCCCCTGCCTTACCTGCAGAAGATTAGGTTGTTATCTCTTGTGTTTTGTCATGTTTGACAGTATCTTACAAAGAGTTTAAATTATGGGTTGTACAGGGAAGTTTGGGTAGAGACGATCCTGCCTCGTACAAAGGGTTGAACTAGATCAGCATTTCTCAATTAGTGGGTCACTAAGTGAGTCACAGGAATATATGAAATATATCCCAAACAATCAGAAAAATGTGGAAAATCATGGATTTTCTCTTTTAAAGGAGAAAAACTTGGAAAACTGTGGGGTACTCTTTGGAGGCTGGCATTACAAGGGGTTGCTTTGGGATGAGGGGAGCAGGAGGAGGGTGATCAGGCTGGGGGTGCCACATGCATGTGTGCACAGGCATGCACGTGGTAGCCAGGCAATGTAGAGAGCAGCTCTCACAGCTCCCTGCAGGTAAGTCTATGGGACAAGGCAGGGGGCGGAGGGGGAAAGAGACGATGCATTGGGAGGGCATGGAGTACAGGTGACATGTTGGGAGCCATGGCTGGGAATGCGCCCTCCAAATTTGTGTACCCATAGTGGGCACAGGGCTTCAATCTGGCCAGACTGGCATGGGCACGAGCCATGTTTGTGGCCCCGCAAGCAAGACCTGGTGAGGGAGGGCAAAGTGTGGTGGTAAGACTTGTTGCTGCTGCAGCCACCACCAGGCCCCCCATGCCAGTTGCACTGCCAGCAGCACAAGGAATAATGGTTGGGGGTGGGGTGTGCTGTGCTCACCACCTCCCATCAGCAGGCACTCCACAACTCTATCCCATCACCATGGATCAGCTGCTGCTGCCACTCCCCTCAGGCTGTGGCTCTACCCCAGAGAGGAGGTGGGGTGCCAGGCAGTGTGGGCAGCCTGAGGGAAGCAGCAGTGGTGGTGGCTGGTCCATGGTGGTAGGGTAGAGCTGCAGCCTGGTGGCTGCGTTGGGAGGTGGTGAGAGCAGTGTGGAGCCCCCTCCCCACCATTGCTCCTTTTGCTGCTGGTGGTGCAGCTGGTGTGGGGGTCCTGGAGGTGGTGGAAGAAGCAGCGAGTCTCACTCCCCCACTCCATTCTCCCATTCTGGGTCCTACCTGCTGGGCCATGGAGGTGGATCCTGCCCATGTTGGTCTGGCCTGGCTAGAGTCCCATACCCATTGTGGGTGCACAGATCTGGGTGGTACATGCCCCCTGTGCCACACACACAAACCCGCCCCCTGTCCCACACACTGGGGGTGGGGGCCTGATTGTGGAGGGCATCAGGTTGGAGTGAGGGGTACCAGCAGAGCTGAGGGGGTGGGGGGTTGTGGGTTGGGACTGAGGAGCACCAACAGGGCTGGGGGGGGCTGCAAGGTGGGAGTGAGGGGCACCAGCAACTTGCATTGTGCAAATTGCACAATGATGAAGGTCACTTGGGAGTAATGGAGGGCCACATGTTGATATTGCTGTTAATGTTTTCCTGTTGATATTGATTTCTGTCTTTAAATTTAAGACTGTTGAGCTGCTTTAACTTGTGTATAATAAGCACTTTGGGGCCAAACTACTTTTTGTGTTTTCTACTTAAACTACTTACTAGGTTGGGACTGGCCATCAGTGTTTACAAATGGTTCCTTGTACAAAAAAGTTGAAAATGACTGAACTAGATGACCTCTAGTGTGGTTTTTATACATGCTCTGGGGGCGGGGTGTGCTTTAATTAAGCGGCTCTGAGAGCCACTGTAATTAAAACACCAGCAGTGTCTCATGTATCAGCATTTCCTGTATTCAAAATGGCAGCAGGGGCACTTTAACTAAAGCTTATCTAATGAGCTTTAGCTAAACCACCCCATCACCATTTTGAAGTGTGGGGACACTGATACACAAGACGTGGAAGCTGCTGGAGAGTGCTAATTAACATGCTTAGATTTGGCTCTGATGCAATGTAATTATAGTGTGTCAGAGCAGCCTCCCTGCCTGTCTACAGGCACCCCTAGATGTCCCTTCCAGTCCTATTCCTCTATGATAAAGCACTTTTGTCTTTATTTATAATAAAGGGAAGGACAGAACTAGAAGGAATTTGAAGTAATCAATGAATGGAATAAACATTTTTCTTAATTTTCCAACTTGTATTTATAGTGCCAAAAAACATGCTAGTTGATGTAAATCAGATTAAAAAAGAAAAGAAGAGAAAGGTCTCTGTCTCAAGAGGCTGTAATCTACAGAGACAGAAAGCTAAGTACAAGAAAGTGTTAAGAAATACAAAGTCATCAATCTTATGATCAAACAGTGTTCCTTGTTAGGGTGTTGATTTTGTTTAAAATATATATTTTAATTTTATTTATATTCTGAAGTCTTAGATTACGGGATTCAGGGCTGAAACAGGAGAGAGAGAAAGAGGGTGGAAAAGGATTCTGGAACAAGTGAAATGTGGCTATGTAGTAGGGCTGTGCAAAGCTTCAGTCCCTGATTTCGATTTGGTGGAGATTTGGCTGGATTCAGTGGCTGAATCTCCAAATTTGAATTGAACCAGAAAACCCTTTAATTTCTCTGAACTGAATCGGAACCCTCCAAATCAATTCAGAGAGATTCAGAAAGATTCAGCGATTCAGACATAGACACAGCTTTAAATGTTTTTTCTGCATACCTCAAGGTACAAGGGGGCTTGTGAATGCTGTGATGCTGGGGCACATGGAGTGTCCCACAGGAGTGAGGGGGCACTCCCCAGCACACTCAGCAGCAGACCCAGAAGTGGATCAGAAGGACTTCTGGTCCACTTCCCGGTCCTCTGGGGAGTGCACAGGGGGACCTCCTTGTGCCCCCCCAGCTTGGTGACTAGTGGCTCCTGGGTCTGGGGGGGCACCTGTGGTCCCACTGCAGCCGACTGCCAAGCTGGGTGGGGTTTAGGGTCCACTTTCGGGTTCACCGCTGAGCATACGAGGGGCCCCCCACG